CAAATAAATAAACAAACATAATTACCTCCCCCCAAAACAAACAAGTCTGGTTTCTCACACTTGGGTTTCTAGTCAGCTGGAGTTTGTGGTCACCGCTCTGCCCACACTTGGGGTGAAAGATCTGCTTCTTGCCAAGTGGAGGCTCATCTCTGACTCTCCCATCCTCCCCCGGCGACCTGCTCTCTCACGTAACCACCCCGTGCAGGGCTCTCTTGTCTGTTCCTCTGACATTTTGTCCTCGTACCTCACAATCTCCACTGCTTAGCGTTACAAGGAGTCTTGGCGGGCGGTGGTGCTAATCACTCCTTCCTGAACTGCCTGGCTGTCTGGATATTGACTCTCCCACAAAATCAATATGCTGAATTCCAAGAGCAGTCCTGCTGGAATTCGGATCAGGACTGCATGAATCCATAGACTGAATTAGGGAGAACTGGTACCTTTACCGTGGTAAGACTCTCCCACTTATAAATATATCCCTCCATGTAGTCAGCTCTCTGGGGCCTTTAATAACAATTTAAAATCTCGCCCATCAACGTCTTGCATGCTTTTTGTAGATTTACTCCTGGGTAACTTACAGCTTTGGTTACGAATGTAAATGAAATCTCTCATTTTAACTGAAAATTCTAATTGAACGATAGTGTTATAGAGAAAGGCTTTATTTTTTGCATGTTGATTTTGTGTTCAGCAACACTGGTGAATCCTGTTACTTCTATTGATTCTCCTGGGTTTCCTGTGCAAATAATCACGTCATTCACGAATAGTAACGATTTGTCTGTTCCTTACCACCCCTTCCACGTCTTCCTTTTTCTTATCTCGCTGCGCTGCCTTCAGCGTCTGACCACTAGAGAGCCTTGTCTTCAAGCCTGTGCTGGCCTGGGTTCTCCAGAGGAACTCAACCAAGGAGCACAGCCTCGTGGCTTTTATCTTGTAAGCCCTGACTCCTTCTCTTCCCCTGGACGCCGTTTTGATTTTACCCAAATCTGTCTCCCGAACTGCAATTATAAGATCCCCAAACTCTCTTCTTATTGGCAGCCTCCTGCAGGTTTTTGGTTGACAGACTCACATGGTCTGCATTTTGCTTTTCTTACGTTGTCTTTGCCTGGCCGTGGTGTCAAGGTCATTCTAGCCCCACGAAATGATTTCTTGCCTTCTCCGAGAGGGTTTGAGTAAGTTATTACCTGTTCTGTAAAGGCTCGGCAAAGCCACCTTATAATTCACCAGGCCCTGGGCAGGAGGAGAGCTTTGACTACAGATTACATTTCCTTAATGGTTATAAAATCATCCAGGTTTCTAATTTCTTCTCAAGATAATTTAAGTAATTGATGTTTTCGTATAGAAGTGCATGTTTCATCTAAGTTTTCAAATCTGTTGGCATAAATATTCTTGTGGGATTTAAGAAAATATTCTCCTTTTCTGTAGTTATGCCTTCCCTTCGGCATACTAAAAGTTTCTTTGCTTGAAGTGTAGTTGATGTACCGCATGATACAAGGTACAGGTGCACAGACAGTGATCACGACTTTTAAAGGCTACACTCCACTTACAGGCACTGTGACGTACCCGCTCTGTCCGGCCTTGGACCGCACGCCCTGTAGCTTGTTCACCGCGCGGTGGTCTGTGCCCCGCCCCTCCCCCTCCCCACCCAGCACCTCGAGTGTGTCCTGCATCTGTGAGTCCGTCCCTTTCTTCCTGTCTTCAGCAGTTCGTTGCATCAGGCCACACCTCTCATCTGTGCCCCCTTTCTTGGTCAGTCTTGCTGTAAAGCCACAGTTTTATTAGTCCCCTTGAGAAGGAGCTTTTGATGCTTTTGCTGCCTTGGTACTTTAGTTTCTGTTTCACTAATGTCCTACATTTTCTCCTGCTTTCGACTTTTCTTTGGTTTCTTCTTTTTTCTAGATTGTTAAGATCAGCACGTAACTCGCTTATTTTCAGTCATTCTTTTATTTTGATGATTGCTTTTTGTTTGGTTGGTGTTGCTTTTTGGTTGGATTTTGGTTTTGTGTTTTGTTTTTTTCCTCTTTGGTAGGCGGAGGTACTTAGGTTTATTTACTCATTTATTTTTAGTGGAGGTACAGGGGCTGAACCCAGGACCCCGTGCGAGCGAAGCATGCACTCCACCACTGAGCTGTATCCGCCCCCCGAAAAGTGCGTTTAAAATTGTAAAATTTCCTCTAAGTGTCGCTTCAGCCTCATCCTACAAGCTGTGCTATTGTTCAGTTCTAAATGGTTCATCATGTCCATCGTGACGTCGTCTTCAACGCAATCTTCGGCTCTCAAACATGGGCAAGATTTTAAACGACTGTTCACTGGCGGTTTGTATTTACTCACGTAGTACCAGGCATGTGCTCGGAAGCGCAGCAATTCTTTGGCATTTGTAGGCATTTCCTCTGTGACTTAACAAGCGACCAGTTTCCGTAAGTGTTCCGTGTGCCCAGAGAACGGCTACTTCATTCGCCATCGGTTGGGCGTGGAGTTCTGTACCCGTCGTCGACTGCTGTGTCCACGAGCCCTTGCACAGCCTTTCAGCTCTCATCCATTTCGTTCTTCAGTTTGATACAGATACGTTGTGAATGCTTAGAAGACGGTGGGCCTTGATTCCTCATGTCATTCTGTCAGTTTTTACTAACGCGTTTCTAGGCCGTGTTGTCAGGTCAGGCAGTTCACTAGCTGCTCATTTTTCCTGAAGCCTTTTCTTAGCCTTAACTTCTGTTCCAGCTGATGCAATATTACACCAGCTTTCCACTGGCTAATGTTTACCTAGTTTATCCGTCTGTATCCCTTGAATTTCACATTATGTACCATTTCAAACATTCAGAAAGGTTCAGTGAATAATGAACACACCTCAAGGTACCCACTGCCCAACTTAAGAAATAAAACATTAACATGTAGGATTTCCAGTCAAGATGGCGGAGCGGTAGGACCACGAGCTCACCTCTCCTCATGACTGCAACAAAACCACAACTGAATGCTAAACCACCAACGAAAAAAGGCTGGAACCTAGGAAAAAAGATCTTCTGCAACTGGAAACATAAAGAGGGAACCACAGCAGGACGGCAGGAGGGGCGTGATCATGATATAATTGGGCCCCATGCCCCCCGAGTGGGGGACCCACAAGCTGAAGGACAGTTAAGTTGCAGAGGCCCTCCCATGGGAGTGAGAGCTCTGAGCCCCCCCACCAGGCTCCCCAGCCTGGGGCTCCAGCATTGGGAGGAGGAGAAGACCCCTGGTTTTGAAGGCCAAGGGGGCTTGGTGCTGGGAGCCCCATGGGACTAGGAGAAACGGAGACTCCATTTGCTTGGGAAGCGCACATGGAAACTCAAATGCACCAAGTCCAAGGGCAGGGGCAGTGATTTCATAGGAACCTGGGCCAGGCCTGCCTGCTGGATCTGGAGGGTCTCCTGGGGACGTGGGGGACGGCTGGGACTCACTCAGGGGACATAGAAGCTGGTGGCGGACATTCCGGGAGTGTTAATCTACATGAGCTTTCCTGGAGGCTGATGTCTTGCTTGGATCATTAGCACTGAGACCCAGCCCCACCAAGCAGCCTGTAGGGGAGCTTCAGGCCAAACACCACACAGGGTGGGAGCACAGCCCCAGCCGTCAGCAGACCTCCTGAGCCACAAAGGCCTCTGGACACAGCCGTGCCCACCAGAGGCCCAGGACCAAGCTCCACTCAGCAGTGGGCAGGCCCCGGCCCCTCCTGCCAGGAAACCTGCACAAGCCTCCAGTCCAGCCTCACCCACCAGGGGCGGGCGGTAACGGTGGTCAAGGTGCTCAGGGAGCTCAGGAGGGGCACAGACGCAGAGCGGAGCTTTCAGCAAAGAGCTGGAGGGTATGAAGAGCACCCAGAGGTGAAGAATAAGATCACTGAAATGAACACCACACTGGAAGGAACCGACAACAGACTAAACGAGGCGGAAGACGGGTCACTGGGAGTCACTACTTCAGAACAGAAGACAGAAGAAAGAATAAAAAGGAATGAGGACAGCTTAAGAGCCCTCTGGGACAACACGAAGCGCTCTAACAGTCACACTGCAGGGGTCCCAGAAAGAGGGAAGCGAGAGGAAGGACCTGGGAAACTCTGCGGAGGGGTGGCCACTGACACGCCCCAGCTTGGGAAAGGACGCAGCCGCCCACGTCCAGGAAGCGCAGAGAGCTCCACACAGGGTCCGCCCCAGGTGATTCCAGCCTCAGAAATGGGCTGGCTGTTTCCTTCTATATTCTGTGGAATCGTCCGTGTAGCACTGGAGAAAGCTCTTTCTTAAACACTTAGCAGAATCCCCTCGTAGAACTGTCAGCACGTGCCAGGGCGGGCGGGGCTCTCGTGGCCGGTTTCTGGGCAGCCGGGGGCCCTACCTCTCCCTGGGTCAGCGCTCCCTTCCCTCCCATCACCGCTCTTCCAAGCGCACCCGAGTGTGCGAGCGTGCGATGCTCCCTACACTGGGGCGGCCCCTCTCGGACTTGAGTCTCGGCTGCTTTCTTCCACCTCCCGCTCCACCACGGCTCTCTGGGTGGGCCGACAGGACTCCAGGCCGACAGGGACTGGCCTCCCCTGTGAAGTTATTCCCCCAGACCGTCCAGCATCACTGCTCATGAGAGGCCTGCCATCAGAGGGCGCTCTCTTGCAGGAACTCTGTCTCCAGAACAGATCTGAAGGCTTCCTCTTCATCCGGCTGGGTCAGGCCCGACCCTCTGGACCACGCTCGGCACCCTCTCGTCCCTCCGAGCCACACGGGCTCACCCCAAACACCTGCAGCTCACCTGCTCCCGTGTGGACCATGTCAGTGGACAGCCCACCCTCAATTTTTATCTCAACGTCTGTATCCTTTATTTCTAGGATTTTTACTTGGTTATTTCTCACATTGACCAGATATCCTTGGGTCTGAAGTGCCTTTCTTTCATATTCGGTGCTGAGTTCTTCCTTTAAATCTCGGAGGATCTTAAAGGCACCTGTATTTGCGCCTCGGGATCTCAGGAGCGGCTCACCCCCGACTCTGCCGCTGGGCGGCTTCACCATGAGCGGAGTTCGAGCTGTTCTTTCTCTGGCCACACGCCTCCCTGTGCCCTCTCCAACCCTGCTCAGCAGGGCTCCATCCTGGGGTCTCAGGCCCTCCGGCCAGTGTCTCCTGTGTGAGTGACAGGCCTGGCCTGGCCAACAGTCAGTCCTTAGAGCTCAGCCCCCTTGGAGGGCCCGACACCACCCCGGCTCCGGGGCTGCCGAGCCGTCAAGGAGGCTCCTGGGGGCTCACAGCTCATCCCAGCCGCACCCTGGGCGTCTGGTCTCCGTCTCTCAGCGCTGTTCCATTTCGAGTCCCCAGAAACTACTTTCTGCTTGGCTGCTTCCTTCTAATTTCTAAGGTGTATTATCTTATTGCTACGTTCAGAGCAGGGGGATCTGAGGTCTACATCAGAGCGTCGTTGGATCAGAAGAACTCGTCTGACTCTAACAGCTCTGGCGTCTCCTCCCCCTGGTTCCCACACCACTACCAGCGGCACGTTCGGGTCCTTTCTTGGAACAAATACAGCGAAGCACAGCTCTGACTGTCGAGCAAGTCACCTCCCTGCTTGGAAACCCCTGTGACAGTCCAGTTGGGCAAAGCCCCCTGGCCTGGCTTTAAGGCCCCTCCAACCTGGCCCCTCCCCCGCCCATCACAAACTGCTCTCCTACCCCGGCTCCTCCCACCATCCTGCTGCTCGCCCAGAAGGCACCCCTGCCACCCCTGCCTGCTCCCTCCCTCCACTGAGCAGACTGCGATGCTCAGGCCAGGTCCGGCCACCCTCTGCTGGAGGCCCCTGCAGGGGACCGTTCGCCTTCGTCCCCAGGGGCACAGAGCCTCTCAGCCTCAGAAACCTCTGGGAACACAGTTTGGGGGTCGGTTTACCCGGCCTGTGAGCGAGCCCAGCCTCTCTCTGCCTCCCTCAGAGAAGGTGAGGACGGACTGACGAGCATCCC